AACCGTTAACTATTGTATAGCCAAACAATTATATTTATCGAATTCGCTATTTATCATCTACTACTTATTTTCTGCTATCTGCCATCTGCTATTCACTAACCACCACCCGCTATCCATTACCGCTATTCGCTATCCGCTACCTGCTACCCGTTACCCGCTATCTGTTGAATTTTAACCGTTGTATCAAATAGGCCCTAAGTGAAAGAAACTTAATTTCCTTTAAGTTTTAGTCTTATGAATAAAAGAAAATAAATGTTAGGAGAGATTCCTCTTTTATAAGGTTTAATGCGACTTGACTCCAAATTAATCAGGATCTAATATGGCTTCCTGATATCAGAGGTTAGTACAAAAAATGTATATATGTATATATATATATCAATTTTGGTAATATATACTCTTACTATATGATATTTACAATTGTATTCCTAGCTGCCTAGATAAATCAAATGTGGTGCCTAAATATGGTAATAAGTAATAACAGCAAAAAATGGAATAAAATCCATTGAAAAATCCAAAAGACAGGGCATTTATACCTAAGCATCACATAAAAAAAAGGCTAAATCTTTTTTTATTAAAAAAAAATCATATCCTACATGAAAATCTCTATTTTCCCAACCAACCGCCCTCCCTTTTTAATGAAGTTACCATAATTTTTGAATTTTTTTCCTAATTCCTCATAGTTCATTGTAAAAATGGCTTAATTTCTTAACTTTCAAAAAATTACTAGTTAAAAATCTCATCAACAGTGATTGATGAGTATTTTTAATTTGCAAATAATTCTAAATTGTTTTGTTTGCCATCAAATTAAATTAGTGGGAATAAATATATATATATATATATATATATATCAAGAAATGGTTAATAAGAAAACGTTGAACTCTGAATTTTTTAAGTCACAATTTCAAAAATACAAGACAAAATAATGCCCTTTCCCTCTAAAGTAACCCTTCGTTACATCACAATAGAAAATAAAAATCTTCACTGTATGTCTATCAACTTCTCTCTCTCTCTCTTTTTCTTGATATTTTCAATGTTGTTTGTGTAGGAGCACATAAGATTCAGAGGGCTAGGAAACACGGCTGCTACTTCAAGACCAAATAATGCAGCTACACAAACATGCCTGTCAATGCTGGTCCTTTACCATCACGATGTATAACTTTTGATATGCCCTATAGTTCAAGATCAAAACAAATGATGCCTGAGATGCCAGCCCCTGGTCCATCCAAATCAAATCATATAATGATATTAAATATGTCATTTTTATTCTACAAAATGTAAAATATAGAAAAAGTTACAATCATGATATTAAATAGCAATCTTAAATGTAACCTAACTCTAAAATCACTACATT